AAAAATTTGGGTATTTTGCCTTTTAATTTTTCATTGGCAAATTACATTAGTGTCCTTGAAGGAGGTTTTCTTTTTTTTTTTTTTTTCCGGTGTGCTTGAAGGGCATACTTAGAGGAGTGAAATGGCAAAAAATTAATTTTGAAGTTATAAGTAACATATTAAAAATTCTTGTATCTATACATCAATTTTTTTTAATGAAAAGAGAATATATGGGTAATAATTTTTGTATAACTTTTTTGTCATACCTTTTTGTATAATATGACGTGTCATTTAAAATAATTTTTTTTAATTATGTGGAACTCGTGATATTGAATGCATTCACTTATTTAATATCATGTGAAAGTTGTATAAAAAAGTGATATAAAGAGAGTATCCCTATAACACCACCTGAAAATATATTACTCAATGATAAAGACTATGAACCACAAAACATTATCTAAAGACTGCTTTGGATTCTCTTCTAAGGTTGTTAGGTTTCTAAGGGTGGCTTACGTAGGAGTTGATCCCATCAATAGGAATGACAATTTTCGCTGAGACTCATGAAATTTTGTGAAAATTTTCGCTACAAGGATGAAGATTTTAAAAATCTTCTTCCATGTCAGATGAGGATGGAGGCATTTTTTCCCTGCGAAATTTCGTGGAAAATTTCTTTTGCCTAGTGAAAACCCCTGGAAATCCTTAAATAATAAAAAAATATAAATTTATTTTTATATATATTTTATAAATATATTACTAATTAATTTTTTCTCACCCAACTTAATTGGCTAATTCAACCTAACCTAAATTGCCTAGTCTTATTCCTTTTCCAATTTCAGTCTTCTCAAATCCAATTCAATAACTCAACCCAATCTAAACATGTATGGCAATTCATGCAATTTTTTTTTTTTTAATGAACTTTGTTGCTAGACCTATTAGACATGTATGATAATGTGTATTTGTTGCAATTGGTTACTAAATATTGCTTTGTTGTATTATATGTTAATATATTTACTTGTTTGAGATGTTTTAAATTTTTACTTTTTTTATTTATCAAGAAAAAAATAAGATTAAATTCTCTATATTTAGTACTTGGAGAGGACTCTGAATATCCACGAGGACCTATTATGCCTCATACGTATGGGAACGAAGGCCATTTTTAGCCTTTTATCAAAAATCCTCATAAGGATCCCTATACTTATCATTGGTAGGGATGGGGATGGGAAGGGGGTCCTTACCCCCCTGGGGATCCATTGTCATCCCTACCCATCAAGTGTGTTTCATGTGGGTTGTAGCATTTTGCCTCCTTCCATTCCTAGTGTTTACTTAGTGAAAGCCTAAAGGTTTGTTAGTGGCTGCTCTTTTGGAGTGAGGGTTAGGGGGATTTGGTGAAGTGGGAAGGTTGTGGAGTAATTGATGCAATTAGGCTAGGTTGTTTGTTGCTTCTAGTTATGGATTGTTGTGGTGCTTGTGATGGGTGGTTAAGTGTTTTTGTGTGGTGGTGTTTGTTCATAGGGGCTAAGATGACTTTTTGAATTTGTGGAAGGGACTGACAATTGAAATGGTTTATGAATGTGTGCACCTTTTGTTGAAAATGTAAGGTGAAGTGGTGGAAGAGAGTTTTTTTTGGTAAAGGGGAAGGTGATGTCTTATCAACTTATAAATGTAAGAAGCTTCAAGTGTTTTTGTCTTGGTTATGGTCAAGTGGCTCAGGTTTGAGCTTGAGATAGGCGATCTCATGTAGTTTGAAGAGATCTAGGAGGTTAGGTTTAGGAGAGCAAAAAATAAATGATAGTCTTACTTGTGCTAATAGGCACTTAAGCAAAGAATAACATGTATTCTTTGTCAATTTTTCTTTCTTAATGATATTTGTTCATACAAAAAGAAGGCTATGAGCCATATTAAACAACATATTGTAGAAAAGATACTTAGAGGTATACATGAAGTAATCAAAGGCCTAATGGGCATTTAAGTTCAACAGATTCAATTAAATGCTTTAAAGGTCTCTTACTTATGCTAATGGACACTTAAGCAAAGAATAACATGTATTCTTTGTCAATTTTCTTTCTTAATTATTGAAGCAAATGGCTTGAGATTTTGGTTAACCCACTACAAGATTAAGAAATTAATGGAATAAAAAATTACACCACCACAGGAAAGATAGAATTTATGTGATTTAGCTTTAATTAGTTAGGCCTATGTCCATGAGCACTCACAAGGAAAAATTCATTATTAAATAAAGAGATACAATTTGTGGTACTTTCACAAATACTTAATCCCCAAGTACACCCAAATCTTAAGTACACCCAAATCTTACTTACAATGTTTTTGAATGCGAGATACACTCTAAATTATGTAGCACAGAATTTTAACCACTCTAAATTACGTAGCA